TGGCTCAAGAGGTCACTGAAGACATACTGAAGAACATTCTGAAAAAACCTGTCAAGTGTCTGAAAGTGTTTGGTAAAGCCTTGTGTCACGAGGATTACTGCAGTCTACACTTGGCGGAACTCTTCCATAAAGGTACAGTATGTGTGCTCAGATGTGCGTGTACGTGCGTGTGTGTGTGTGTGTGTGTGTGTGTGTGCGTGGGGGGGGGGGGGGGGTGGGCGTACGTGAACGCGCTCTCTCGCGTGGAGTGTGGGTAGGGGAGGGTGTGTGTGTGCATGCACGTGTGTGTGTGTGTGTGTGTGTATGTGTGTGTGTGTGTGTGTGTGTGTGCCAGCTAGTTCGGTTGGTGGGTACACTTATGCCAGATAGTGTTGGGCATGTTGCCAACGGGCTCGGCTGCTTGAAGGTGTATTGTTGTACCTACCACCTTTGTTGGTTTCAGGGTTCATATACTTTCTATTTGAAGTATACATTCCTGTTAACCATGGACTACTTCTGGCTAGATAAACTCTTGTGTAATCAGTGGTGCTAGTGAAGCTTATATCAGATCCACTCTGATTTAGCCACCCACACTTGTAGCAAGTATTACCTTCACCGGGGGCAGGGGCGACTGCAGTTGGATCCCGGGACGGATACCCTGATGCCGTCAATCCTTTTTCTGCACCTTGTCCTCACCCACTTACTGAGGTGTGGTGAGCCCATAAGTGGGATCATTTCAAGTCCACCCTAGTTTGGGGATTTCAGGGGGTGTCGGCCGTTGGGTGGTTCAATGGCCAATTGAGTCATCTTTCCAAGATTCCTTTTGAGTCTCTCTCCCCTCTCCCGGGGAGACCCACGTGACCAGTTTTGGCAGTGAGCAAGTACAAGTGTGTGTGTGTGTGTGTGTGTGTGTGTGTGTGTGTGTGTGTGTGTATGTTGCTGACCCGTCTTGCCTTTGCCCTCAGAAGAGGTGGCGTGATGCCGTGGGAGTAGATGTTCGATGCCTCGACCTGGGCGATGAGGCATGGTTTGACCTGGCACAGGAGCGCAGTGAATGGCGAGGGGCGTACTCCAGCGTTACTTCATCTGGACCACGCCCGCAACCACGAACACCATGCGCGGTTTGTGGCCGGTCACTGTCAAAGAGTGGTGTAGCCCGACACAAATGCAAAGAGGAGCGCAGCAAGCCGATCGCAGATCAGTTTGGGAGCAGGAAATGCCCGGCGTGTAAGAGATGGTTCAGGAGCGCCGGAGGCCTCACTGTCCATAAGTGTTGACCCGACGACGATCACTGTACGTGCTCAGTGGCGGGCCATTCTTCTTTCTCTGCGCCCAACTTGGTTGCGGCAGTACCGGTGCCGGCAAGGACTCAGCTAGCACTACCCTGCTGCCAGGCTCATTGCAGCGCATGTGGCAGGTGCTGCCGATCAAAGAGGGGGTTTCCAACTCCACAGCTGCGCAAAGTATACCCGAACTCTCGTTGGCCGCTAGCCTGCGGAGCGTGCTGCGTACCGTAGTCAACCGACCTACCCCATGTCTGTCAGCCCCTCGTATGAGGGGACATGTGACCGTCTTACGCCAGTGTTCAGGACAGGACAGGTGTGTGTGTGTATGTGTGTGTGTGTGTGTGTATGTGTGGGTATGTGTGTGTGTGGCCAGAAAAATCACTTCAAATAGCTGTATGGTGTAGACCAGGCTGAATAGTGACGGTCACTTCTTCAGCCTTGCAAGCTGTTGAATGGTGCAATCCCAGCACAAGTTGCTATCATCGCCTCCGGCAATGGGCGTCAAAGGTCAAGGTGTGCGTGTGGGGGGGGGGGGGGGGGGTCATTTTCCAAGTCCACCTAGAGTTGGGGATGTTCGGGGGTGTCAGCCGTTGGACGGTTCTGTAGCCAACTGAGGCACGTTTCCAGAATTCCTTTTGAATCTCTTTTCCCTTTTCGTGGGAGACCCACACCATCAGTTTATGGGTGTGTGTGTGTGTGTGTGTGTGGTACAGGTCCTCCCTCATTATAACGAGTCTGGTTACTACATAAACCCCGTTAGTAAATAGAAATCTGAAATCCCCTGGCAAAACGTGATCTATACAACTGTTTACAGGTCCGGTTACAACATAATCCGTTAGTACATAAAATCCGTTATAACGACCATTTGCCTAGATCCCTGGAGTGCCAAACCCTCAGTATAAGATAATATTGACCATGCAGGACCAAGGCCAAAACACGTTGGATAAAGCAGAAAGAGGAAACATATCATGTCTATGTATTCGTGAATATGGACGATCCTTTGCATCCAAGGAAGAGTTATGTTGGAGTAACTTGGAGATTTTCAATGATCTTATAGCGAGTTGAAGCAACGATAATTTATGTTGTATCGAGGGTAGCCCCGGTAAGTACGAATTAGTGCCTATTTCACCTTTACTTCCTCCGTTAACAAAAACTTCGTGATGGATTTTTGAGGGGCTGATTTGGGCACAAACTGTCGTGAAATGAGTCGCAATCACTTTCTTGGCCTTCCCTGGCATGCCATGAAAGAGGTACGATGCAAGGAAAGCGACCTTTCACAACAAGCCGAGCGGAATCGATGATTGCGCTGTGGAAACATAGGTGGTGACAGTCATGGCGAGCGAAACTGAAATATCACCTCTCCGAGGGGATATTGCGCTGCTTGGCCTCTCTACCACTTTAGCACTAAGTAAGTTGGAGAGCGATAGAGAGCGATAAAACGGAGCAGCAAACCCACACAATGAGCGAGTGAACAAGGAGCTGCTCCGATCGCACGGCTCAATGAAAATAATTCTGAACTCAAGTTCTTGTTCAACCTGCGCAAAGCCCAGATTCGAATGCTGATCACCGTGTGCATGTATTCTTTCAGAAGTCTGCAGTCCGATGCGAGTCTCATGGCTAAAGAAAGTCGAGTGGACTTGCTAGCCGCTGCCGTTTAGTGCTGGCAGGGGTATCCATTAGAGAAAATGGAATCAGTTCGGCTGTGCCTTTACTCCTCGTTTCGCGGGGTTCTGGAGAGCGAAGATGAAACCAGGGAGTCGTAAAATATTTTTCACGACTCCCTGGTGGAAACGAGTAATCGCCATCGCGGAAGATCACGCAGCTTGAAAGCCAACTTACTTGAACGACGGCGACATCAAGGTCAGCGGAGTGTGATTAAAGAAGCCGAGGCAAGGCTGAAACGAGCTGAAAAACGACTCGAGAGAGATGACGACTCGCGTGCAGCAGATGACGACTCGCGTGCAGCAGATGACGACAGCGACGCAGGTCAAAATTTAGTCGAGCGAAAGCGACGCAAACTGAACTCTCTGCTCATTCCGCCAACAGTTTCTCTTGTAAAGACGCTGTACATAGGCTGAATCACCTTTGTCCAGTGATTTGCAGTCGATACAAACTATTCTTGACCTGTTCTAAGCGTTTTCATATCCATCAAAATCCATCACGAAGTTTTTGTTAGCGGAGGAAGTAGCTGCAAGTCCTGCTACAAGATAAGTCTCGTTATAAGATAACTTTTCGATAGCCCAGAGATTATCTACTAACGAGGGAGGACCTGTACATGGTGTGTGTGGTACATGGTGTGTGTGTGTGTGTGTGTGTGTGTGTGTGTGTGTGTGTGTGTGTGTGTGTGTGTGTGTATGTGTGTATGTGTGTGTGTGTGTGTGTGTGTGTGTGTGTGTGTGTGCGTGCGTGCGTGCGTGCGTGTGTGTGTGTGTGCGTGTGTGTGTGTGTGTGTGTGTGTGTGTGTGTGTGTGTGTGCATATGCATATGTGTATGTGCATGTGTTTTGCAGCTTTGGAGCTACAAAAGCAGCGAGCGGAAAGCAGCACGATGAGTCCAGGGAACACCAGCAATGGTAGCAGCTTGTCTGACACGGCTGCGATGGAGGCACCCCCATTCCAAGATCATTCAGTTCACTTTGGGCAGCAGTGCGAACAGGAGGAGGAAACAGCGTTGCCTTTCCCCCAACAGCACTCCATGGTTAATGACGACGAGAGCTATGATTATTCTGGAAATGGACGTCAACCCCTCGCAGTACACAACCGTGCTGCTGCTGCTGCTGCTGCTGGTGCGGTTAGCAGTACTGCTGGTGTTGGATTCGATTTTCCTGATGGAGCTGCTGCTTCCGCCGCCGCCGTCTCTCGTCTGCCTGCCGGTGAGTGTTAAATCTGTGTGTGTGTGTGTGTGTGTGTGTGCGTGCGTGCGTGCGTGCGTGTGTGTGTGTGTGTGTGTGTGTGCTGGGGCGTACGGTACTGTGTGGTGCCGAAGAAAGGGGCAGCACAGGGGCATGGCTCGCCAAATCTGTGGTGTGGTGACCTTGTACCACCTGCAACCTCATAGCTGCCATTTCACCTGCTTTGACTACTGTAAAACCGGAAAGTTTAACGTTTTTTGTAATGTTGGCATGATAACGTGCAGAAAGTTTAACGATGGCTACCTGGCCACCCATCTGTATGCGCACCTTTACACAGACATCTCAAACCGGGTTCGCCATAACAGTTCTTCAAAATAACCAAAATATATTGGTCTTTAAAACGTTAGACTTTGTGACTCGTTATACAGTATGTAGTAGGTATGACGGCTATTTGCTGGTGTGGCGAGCGGACTATGCGAACTACACACGAGCTAGAGCACTCTGGCGCTAGAGCGACGAGCTATCTTAATGTCTGCGGTGCCTCCTTTGCACCATGGCTGATGTAGCTCGGCGTGCTTAAAGCTCGTAGCTGTACTGATGACTCAGTGATGAGGCCTTTGTGGTGGAAACAGCTTGCCGTCTACGGCATTGGGTATGCACGAGGTACGCGCCTGCAGCATTCCGAGTCGTACCATAGGCCATTCGCATTGTTTTGTAGAACTTGCAGGACTGGAGGAAGCAGTTTTTTGAACGGGGGTCCGGCCATACCCCAGTATGAAATACGCGTACCTCGTGTATACCCAATGCCGTAGTGTGTGTGTTAAATGGCGGGGCGCATGCCCACCTCCGCAGTGAAGAGGCGTTGGTGGCCAAAGAGTTGGCCTGGCCATGGCGGGACCAACGGGCGGGTTCCGTCGCGCCTGTGTTTGTGGTAGCTGAGCCACCGTGTGCATACGAATATCCTGTGCCTGGCGATATTCTAGCCAGTTCGTTTTTCGGTTTATGTGATTGTAAGGAGCAGTTGAAAAAGTTAAGGCAGGGGAAGAACAGTGTGGTTATGGGAGTGATAAGAATGAGAGCTAGCGAGCAAGAGAGGAAGTTGTTGGGTTTGGAGTGGCATGCCGCCGATCGCGTGTGTGTGTGTGGGGGGGGGGGGGGGGGGGGAGGGGAGGCGCGCATGTGTGTGTGTGTGGGGGGGGGGGGGGGGTGCGCGTGTGCATGTGTGTGTGTGTGTGAGTTATGTATGTGTGTGTGCGCGTGCAAGAGAGAGATAGAGAGAGAGAGAGAGAGAGAGAGAGAGAGAGAGAGAGAGAGAGAGAGAGAGAGAGAGAGAGAGAGAGAGAGAGAGAGAGAGAGAGAGAGAGAGTAAGTTACATTTATAAAGACAGGTAAGTCTAACAAATGAGGACTGAGACCTCTACAACAGGGTTTTACGCCTGAAAGCAGGTGCATGATTTAACAAGCAGGTTGTCAGTCTAGATTTTATGCGCAGATGGAGAAAAAGCGCAGAATTTTTGTAATGAGATGAAAAGCAGAAATAATAAGAAATAATAAGAAAAGATGAAATGAAAGCCTGCTCACAACCCCGCCCAGCCTTGCGAACTGGGTATGGTGGATTAAGAACCCGGTTCAACGCTCGAGCAAGCGCTCTCCACTCAAGGTGTTCACAGCAACTGATAGGAACTCATATGGGGAAATTATAGAAAAGAAATAATAAGATAAAGAGAATAAATTTCAACGCACCTCAATAAACGGAACCCCACATACAGTACCTCAGAAAAGTGGATCTTCCGACCAGTGTTTTTGTTGATGTCGCAACCAGATGATGTAGCTGCTTCGCAGAGACGTCTTACTGCACAAATTACAAATAAATTTTATTCTTCGATTAGAAAACCCAAGCGCTTTCAGAGCCCTCCGAAGAGAGTCCGGGATGAAACCACGCACACCTACCTCAACCGAAAAAGAAACGACCTGCCACCCGTTTGCTCGGCATTGATCGGCCAGATCCGCATACCGCCTGTCCTTCCGCGAGTTACTGACACTGAATCTGTCCTCAGCACAAACTGTCAACTCCATCCAGAATACAATCCTACGACTCGTAGAGTACAGAACTATATCTGGTCTTAGGGTGGTAAGTGCAACACAGCTAGGGAAAGAAATCTTTGCACTAACTGAGTCGACAAGAAGTTTCCAGTCTGAGGCCGCTGACAGGAGATCAGTCGTAACCAACTTTCGTCTGGGCTGAACGCGAACTGGCTTCTCTCCTGCCTTGCAAAACGAGATGAAGTCAAGCTCATTTGAATTTTCGGTTTGTACGGTGTTTGCAGCAGTTCGGATTCGAATCTCCTCACGCATGTTCCTGACGATGACCCCGAGTACGTTGTCGTGCCTCCAGGTGTAACGCCCCTGGTCCAGCGCTACGCGACAAGCGCCAAGCACGTGGCGCGTAGTACAGGCCCAGGTACGGCACAAACTACAGTACGGA